GGGGTCATAAGCCCCTGACCCTGGTGATGGGTGAAGAGTATTATTTTGAACATAGCACTCATGATTTATGTTACCAAAGTGAACCAAGACACGCACCAGGTCTGCTCCGCAGTTGCGACAGGCCACTTGTGGCGACACCGGTGTGCTGTAGTGTTGTCACGGCGCGGAAACGACTCCAGGTGACTGATGATCGGATAGGGGATCATAATGATCAAGGCCAGCACCCACGTGGCAGCAATCACCCGATAGGCGTGCGAACGGGTCTGCCATACCCGTGACTTCAGGGGGTTACAGATGGCGCTATAGCGCTCAATTGCTATGGCAACCAGGCTAAAAGTGGAGATGCTCACGGATATGCCTGTTGGAAAACAAAACAAAAAAGTAAGCAGGTAAAATACTGTGTTCTTGCTATCTTGTATCTAATGACATATTTTATTGTACTGTATAAACTTTTATTACTGCTCAGTGCCAAAAAAGAGTTTGGACCCATAATAAAAAAAAATAACACAAAGCAAGTAGGCTATTATCTGCAATCATAACAAAAAGCTGCAGTCGGTGGAGACGTGTTTGCAAATGAATATAGTGTGAGGTGGAGACAGTTATCTGAATCATGTGGTGGAGGAAATCATGCTGGCCTGAGCCACAGATTTGATCTGCCATCCTTGTAGTGACAGGGCAAGACGGGAAATTACTCTTCACCTCTCTTATCCAGGTCTTCAGCAAGAATACACAATACAGACTGTGTGTGTGTGTGTGTGTAGGTGTGTGTGTGTGTGTGTGTGTGTCAGAGAGAGGGAGCAAGAGACCCTTAGGTGCCCTATGGTTATATTCGAAGGAAGCTTTAGAGCATCCCCAAGGAAGCAGGAGACAATCCACCAATAGCCTCCCCTTAGGGTCTCTGTCCTTTTCTTCAGTGCACCTTAATGATGGCTGCCTTCATTCATAAGCCCCGTGCTTTACATGAGCCTTCTTTTCTCTTCAGTTCTCAAATAATTCTGGGCACAAAATCCCTCCTGTTCTTGTTTGTTTTGTTTTTTTTTTGACATATTTTAATATTGATAATTGCATTGGAATTTCTTATGTCGTTGACATAAAAATGTTATGTCCTCTCTTTTTCCAGGTATCTGCGTTACAGTACATTAATTAACTACTTAAATGAAATAAGCAACCATATTACACACTGAATTAAAGACTAAAGCTTACCTCCATCTCATTGCCCCTTCAAATTATTTTAAGAGGCCATTCTGTAGAAAATATTTACTTAAACATTATGCTTAACTCTTGTGCAAACGCAATTTTTCAATGGTTGCCAAGGGCGGCACATTCACTCATTAAATTGTGCTTCATTTACTCTATGTAGCAACCAATTTAGTGGAGACGCAGTTGAGAATTCATGTTCAGTAGCCCCAGTCTAATGTTGATATTTCATCATCACATTTTATCTTTAAAGATGTAAAATTGTGCGTAAAAGGCTTCAAACTGAGCGGGTTAGGGGCACATCATCCTTGTTACAAGCAAGTGAGAATATGTGCCACTTGTATAAGCTGAAGGTCAAAAGGTGAGAGATCCTAACCCTCTGTCTGCTATTGCTTCCCATTGTTTTCACAGATTTTATTAAGGTTAAGTGAAGTACAGGATTAGAAAGCAACAGGAACACTATAGTCAGTGCATCTGAATGGTGTCTTCATTTAGTATGAAACCACCAGCTGCCAATGATGATTGTTTCATTTTCTAATAATCCAAGTTAATTGTTTTGCAGGTAAAATTGACTTAGCTATGGAGTCAAACTCGAAATGTAATTGCTTAGATTTAAAATAGCAAATGATGCCAAATCAGCTTGCATCAGACAAAAAGATTTTTGCTTTTGAAAAATGATACATAATCAATGATTACATAATTGATGATTATAGATTTTCTTTTGTTTAAGCCATTATTTTGCCTTTGCGTTAAACTTTTTAAATACAGTTAATTTGTTTGTTTTTGTTTTTTCTATTTCTGGTTGCAAAGTATTCCAAATCTGTGGGCCCTTAACTGTAAATGATGACTGACCAAATATCCTTTATACATAACTCAATCACCATTAACAACTCCCCTCAGAGCCCAACTAATTTACCAAAAGCCAGAAAAGTAATTCCGTAGTGAACTGAAAAATGTATCTCTTTATAATCTGCAGACAAATGTTTGATGAGGAAAGAATTAAGAAAAGTGTCCAGGCAAGCATAAATGTTGCCTATAGTAAATGCCATAATTGGAGAAAATGATGTTCTTTTATTCATCCTCATCCGTTAGTCACCAGATAGCCGCCCCTCCCTGAGCCTGGTTCTGCTCCAGTATTCTTCCTGTTAAAAGGGAGTTTTTCCTTCCCACTGTCGTCATTGTTGGGGTTTTTTCCTTTTCATTTTTCATTATCATAAGGTCTTTACCTTACATTATTAAATGCCTTGAGGTGACTGTATTGTGATTTGGTGCCATACACATAGATTTGAATTGAACTAAAATGTAATATTTACACACTGCTTGCTAACAAATGCCAGCATCAGTTTTTAGCTTTGTAATTATCTGTAACCTACTGTCGCTGATTTAGATTTCATACATTATTAATACATATATTGTGTATTCATTTATATAATTCATATATCATTAATACTGATTTTAAATGTTATATGTTCTTGTAAATATGAGATGGAAAGTGACTCCCATTAGTCTGGAATGAACTCTAAATTTGCAGATATTTGCAAAAATTTGGAGCAAAGTTACTGAAAGTTGCTTCACATTCTTTAGTTTCATGGCATTAAAATGGCTTTTGATGATTTGCTATCCTCACCACAAGCTTGAACTTTAACACTGTTCACAGAAAAGCCCATACAGGCTCCCTAAAGAAATTCTCATTGGTAGAGATACTTTTAACCTCCATCAGAAGGTGTCTGACCTCTCATCTTATTGCAAACCACCGATGTGCGACTGTGCTGCTTAAAATTCAACTGAATCAGATTTATACAGCATTTCATAGCAGTTCTTCTGTATCAGCTAAAAAGATTATCACCAACATTGTACCAAGGACATTTGCACATACATTATTGTTCTGTAAAACACAGCTAAATTTACAGTGTATGTCTATATATGTCTTTACCATAGGGAAACCTAAAATTTATGGTACAATAAATTGTATCTCTCCAATAAGCTTAGCTAAGAAAATTTAAGAAACTAAAAATGTTCCTAAAATGTAAAAAGGTAGCTTCCAAATATCTGAAATATAAGGCTTACTCTGGATTTATTTCACATCTTTTACAGTATAGAAAAAACTGTGAAAAGAGAAGCAAATAAGTGTTTTGGGACCCCGTCCTTCACTACACCCCTTTTCTCTCACCCATGAGGTAGGTGACTATCTTGCACATGGCAGCTCCAAAGATAAAGTCCTTAAGAATGCTGGGGATGAGGTTGAACGGCATGCAGAAGATGGCCATCATCAGGTCACTGACGGCAAGAGACAGCAAGAAGGTGTTGGTCACGGTGCGCATGCGCTTGTTGACCGTTAGAACAACAATGATCAGCAGGTTTCCGAATACACTCAGGAAGAAGATCAGCGAATAGAGCAGGATCCGAAGTGTGTGGTCTTCATCTGGTAACAAAAAGAAGAAGAAGAACAGAGGGAATATTAGCATGCTAAAGTGTTAGTCTGTTTTCATTCAGTGGTGTACTCTTCACTTTTTAGCTTCATAAAGCTGTCTAATTCTCGCTGTGTTTATTAATTTGTAAAAGTCAATGAGTGAGCAGGGTCTTATCTGCTAGGATTTGTCTCTTAAAGGTGGAACGTCTGATTGTGCAGCCAACAGCAGTACAATTGGGAGTTGTTACTGTTAAAATATTATTATATTGTAATGCTTTGCACAGTTTTTATTACCTTTAAACTGCGCTGGTTTGTTTGTAAAATGTTAGACGCTATTAAGCGACAATATGCCATGGCCACAATGAAGGACATTACAGTGTCGGTGACTCTGTGTCCAAACTGTTATGGTGTGAAAACTGTCCTGACAGTTCAATTTATCCCCAGCTGAAAGTTTGCAGAGTGGCACTGCTCTGTTTCCTGTCTATAAACACTGTGTTTGCCAAAAATTGTTGTGGTCCAAGAACAGAGGGGACCTTGTTTTTACATCCAGTAGTGGTCTCTTAAAAATCATAAAATATTGATCATATCATTGATCACAAAATATAAGAGACACTATTCGTCAGCATCTCTTGTATTTTGTTTTGAGATTTACTTTGTTTCTGTTTATTGCCTTGGTTATGTTCTTCTGTTTTCTGTTCCCCTCTTGTTCACATTTTCCCAATTTGCCCTCAGCGTATAGTTCCTGTTCTACCTTTGTCAGTGTGCCTGACTGGCCTCATTTATGTTGTCCCTAGAGTTTGTGAATTTTGCTCATTTTGTTTTGTGGACTGTGGACTCTGACCTAATCAAAGGTTAGCTTTTGTTTAGCTTGTCTTCCCTGGTTTCTTTTGGCCAACTTTTGGCATAACTGTAAAAATTATTGCAATGAAACAAAAAGTTACATGGATTTAACCTTGAGTTTTAATCAATAGAAGACAATTGTGTATCTACAGAGTGATGGTGATGATAATACAGAAGAGGATTAGGGCCACTGGAAAAAAAAAAGTGGGCACATCTTTTTTTTTTCTTCTTTTTCTGAATTGTGAGAAAAAGTCAGAATGGTGCAACTGCATAAAAATTGTAGAAAGCTATGCTAGGAAAAAGGACTAGAGGTGGATGCACCTTCTTATTAGTTTAAATATTTCAACTTTGCTGTAAAAATTCATTTCATGCTGCCTCATAAAAAATCCTGTGAGCTGGGATCCTCCCATAAGGTAGTGGACTCTCTCCTGATACCACTGGCAACATAAATGACCCTTTTTAAGTCGAGAGGAGCTGACTGTGTTAACCTTGGCTTTTAGATAGACAAAGAGAAAAAGGGAAGAACTTAGAGAAGAGAAAGTGAAATCATAAGCTCTGAAGATGTTATTGTAATTTGATTACAGCTGCCGGTTGTCCTGACGGCTGTATGGGGCAAATATCTGTGGAGTCATAGGTGTAACACAACCTATATTGGAACCTCTTTTTTTTAATCCACGATTTTGATGATGATATTGTGGCAGGGTGTGGTTAGCGGTGCCACTGCAGAAGAGGAGTGGCGCAGTGGGTTCAGGGCATGGTGGTAGGGGAGGCTGGCTTGGCACATCTTCTAATCACACCTTCGCTATTTCAGTTGCAGCTGAGGCCGGAGAGGAGAGCAGCTGCTTATGGAGTATCGGAGCCAAGGCAGCGAACACTGAAAAATGCTATCAAAGTGTGTGTGTAAAAAGTAACAAAATAAAAGCCAGTCAATCAATAAAAGTCCTGTCAGGTCCTGTTTACAGATATCTTGATGGGACACTGAAATGCAAAATGCTTGTTGGGTAATCACTCCTCCCAAATCCTAACAAGGAACTTAAACCATGTTTTAAATCTTGATTGTATTTATTTGAATGGGACTTGATTTGTATTCCCAAAAGAGGGATTTAGATTCTACAAAATGACAGGTCCCTACAAAATAAATAATGCAAATACAAAAAACACATACAAAGAGTCATAACAGATAACACACGCTAGGTTTTTCCAGGTCTCTCACCTACTATAGGTAGGTTTAAACATTCCCAACGTGGATTTTTAAAATACGTTCACTGATTCATTACTTCCTGTAACAGCTGCATCCCAAATAGCCAACAAATCTCTTCCCCTCTTTATCTGGAGAACATCTGGATAGCACTAAAACCCATGTTATAAAACCCACGATACGAGGCAAGTTCATACACCTTAAAATGATGTCATCCTTTTAAATGATAAACCCTGACAGGCAGATAGTTACATTTTTTTTTCAAGTTAGCAGGTAAAAGTCAGTATGAAATAATACTTCCAGGATTACAACGACACTAAAACTATCGAGCGCATCCTTTCAAATGATTTTTTTTAAAAAATTGAATAGCAGTCTTCAGGCTGCAGGAGCTCAGCGACAATCTCTGAAAAATATTGAATTTATGTGTGATACAGTTAATATCATTTGCTTTTCATTCCTTCAGTGCCATTTCAACCAAGTTCCTCTAACACATTTGGAAGTTTTTTTTTATTTTCCTATCCCAAAGTTGCAGTCTCAATCTTGCATAAAAATACTGTTAAATGTAAAAGATTACCTAAAGCCTCTCTGTGCCCTCAGCCATTGGCAGCTTCACTGGATCATATCCTGTAATGTCCATGTTAACGGAATTCTCTCTTATCTTCACCTCGCCTCCCTTCTTAGACACAACACTCTTTTAAACAGGTTAGCTACTGTGTCTGTATCCTGGGGATTGGAAGTACCCATGTGTGCTGAATCTTGAGGACACAAATCACATCGCACACATAAGCCCGGACTTCACTGACACAGTTGTGGAGGCATGTGCAGTCAAACACACTCAAGCCTTTAATCCCCTGAAAATACACCACCGCAGTTCTTCAAAGGCACCGGCAAATTAGATTAACTAAAGTCTGCAAATATATATCAAGAGTGTCTGTGTCCTTGAAATCACCAAATTTATTGATATCCCTTTCTGTCTTCTTCTTTTTTGTGTGTTTTAATTTGTTTTTAATTATTCTTTTTTTCACTCATTGCAGTGCCCTTTTTTAGTGAGGCTATGGTCATTGTGTTTTTGTCTTTAATTGAAATCTACTTGACTTTTAAATGTTTCAGTTTCAGAAGTCTTTTGCTGCTTTAATACTCCGTTGATTTTTCCCCTCTGCTCTCAGTTAAAGTAGAAAGCTTTTACTGTTAAAAAAAAAATTTAAAAAATTTAAAATCAGCATCCAGACACACGACAATGTGGCTCCCACCTAATTTGCCAAAGTCCATGGGGAAAAAAAGGTAGCCTAGTGCTTGTGTTTTGAGCACTGAGTGTTTTATTTAAGAATCAGGAGATAATGCCAGCATTGATTAACATTTTTGTTGCTTTAAGGACATCCCTTAAGGATCACATCAGTGACTTCCAATATAAAAAGTAGGATTAACAATGCAACATAAAAAAAACACCCAGAACCACAGTTATTTGAAGTAATCCCAAACCTAACTCTTATTGACTTTTAGTAATCCACCTGGGATGTAAACATGTGTATTGTGCACAGCTGGCTGGGATAATCCGAGCTCCACTTATCTGCCTGCTTAACAGAAGGCGACGTACTGTTCAGGTTGAGCTGCAAAATCTGAACATAGATACACAAGAGCGGACATGAAGTTAAAGAGGTACATTATTGGAATTGCTTTGGTGCTCCTAATACATATTGAGCATATTTATAGTTCATGGATAAAAATAGAATCATGTCTTACCAAATTGATTTGGTGCTCTTGAAACCGCCCATTCACTCAAATGTTCTTGTATCAGCTTGGTCAGCAAAAAGACAGTATGCCAGTGAGTCATATGGTCTCTCTCTCTCTCTGTTTCTCCCTTTCACACACACACACACACACACACACACACACACACACACACACACACACATCTAATGACATGTGCCTCCACCGTCTGTCTCACAAACTCCTATGCAAATAAAAAGCATTAAGCTCTAATATGGTTGGTGTGCTAATAACAGACATGCAAACTGCAGCCACTTAAATTGTTACATTTGTATTGAGGGCGCAAAAGCAGAATGGAAATACGGAGACACATGATTGGCAAGAAAGAGGAAGCAACACTCTTCTTCATTACTGTCTATCTCTCTTTCACCCTCTCTTGCTTAATGAAATATGTTACACTGGCTTCTGCCTAATCAAAGCCAATTAGCTTTCCTGTGTGCTCGCTGATAACTCCCTGAGCACATTTACCAGTTCCTTCAGGACAGTCTTCACAATAGCTGCTACTTGGCTCATCAGTGTAGAATGGAGGCATTCTTAATATTTTACCTTTCTCTCACACGGGCCAAAACATGTCTGCAAAGGGAGCACTCTAATACTGCAGTCTTCTGTTTCACAGCGTCGCTGGGCTGATTAGTGCCGCAAAATGAAAATGCGATGCTCAATGAGTCTGTTTAAATGCTAAAATTAATATTATTGTTACTTGAACTTCTGATAACAACTTCGTTTTAAGGTTGTGAACATATTGCAAACAGACTCATATATAGCCCAAAGGGTTGACTCTGTTCATCTGGACGTAGCGTTTTCAGTGGGAGAAACATTTCATCACTCATCCAAGAGACTTCATCAGTCTCAGCTGACTGCAGGTTTCCTCAATTTTATAAACAGTGCATTTGCACAATGACTGAAACTAGCATCACTGAAGGAACAATTGGCTGGGAGGTCAGTTCCTGATCTCACATTAACTCAGTGGTTCCCAAACTTTTTTTGCTGGGCCCCCCTTGTTTTACAAGAAAAATGTTTGCGCCCCCCTTCTCGCGCGTGCACGCGTGCACGCACACGCACTAACACATCTTCCAACCACACACACCCATATTTTGCTCCATTGCGGTTTATTTCACACCTCAAACATTTAGTAAACAATTAAGCAAATACAAGTAATCTGCAATAAATTACAGGTAGTACTAAAATAAACTACGAACTCTTTTAC